TTTATCGTTAACTTTTATTATTTTTGTGTATTTTAAATTCTCACTAACAAATAATATTTTGTTAGTTATTAGTCCCACATCAAAATTAATCTAAAGAAAAATATAGCTTACAACAATTTTATTTATAGATGTGTATAATTAAACAGATGATTTAACCAATTCAGCATGATCACCAATATTATATTCCAATCTTAAAATTTGTTTATAAATATGACTTAGATGATGGATGAAACAACTTGATMAATCATTAATATATATGTGTAAGTTATAATTTGTATCAATTAATTTTGCTTGTAAGGCTCATATTCTATTTTATGTCATTTCAGTAATAAGCTAATAATTAATAATATCATGTCAAGTACATTATTTTTTATCGATTAAAAACAATAAAAATTAGTGAAAATGGTTATTAGAGGATGTTTGATATTATTATACTTGTAACAAACACTATTCATTTTTTAATTCTTATTCAATAAAAACATTGTAATTTAATTTGTTTATATAGTAAACAACAAAATTATTTTTTTCACAATTTTGTTTTTTTCTTTTATTTGGTTTACTTAAAATCACCAACAAAAAATCTATTTACTCTACAATCAGCTAAAAAATGACTATATTTATTTTTTTCATACTTGTGGTATTGAAACTATGCTTATTTTTTGTTATGCTAAATAAGACAATTGATTTTTTTTTTATGCATAAAATGATTAAAATGTTAGTATATAATTTTTAAACCTTATTTAGTTGAAAAAAAATATATAATGCCTAATTGCAGTGCATATATCATGATTCATGAATACTATCACAATGTAATATTCACAATGTTCACAATGTAATATTATGTATTATTATTAAYTCTACAATTAAAATGGAAATCATTTATATTTTCATACTAGGTACCAATATTATAAGTACTATAATATTGTATGTATTTCATTCTATACCGATTTTATACTACATAGCCACAAAGGACAAGAAATTATGAATTATAATAATTTAATGACTAGTATAACACTTTACTCTTTAGCTAGTTCAGCTTATTATCTAATACATATTATTAAATTAACGATTGGCAAATTTGTGCAATGGTACTTTCAATGAGTTAAGCACGACATTTTTATCTAAAACAAACCTAGTTACCTGTCTTATTTATTTCAAATTAATCCTACATTTATACATATTTTTATGATTTTCGATGTTCTACCTATATTGATTGCCAAATTCATATAAATATTAAAATCGCATTATAATATTTTCAGGATAATAATATTGTTTTAAAAATATTTAAAAGAGTTGCATAAATAATAAGAAAATAATTTGGTGATATTCTTTTGCCAAGACATTCATRTTGGAAAATGTTTTATGAAAAACGTTAACCTACAAAACATTTTAATCCTATATTTTCATAAAAACTTTTTAAAAATATTTATTGTTTGACATTTAAATGCAATCTATACTCTATAGCATAATATTTGGTTATCGTGAGAAGAAAATATTAAATCAATATTGTTAATCAAATATTTATTATTCAATCACTTCAAAATATTCACAAAATATAATTTACCAAATGATGTGTGGGATATAGTATGCATAGACTCGTAACGTATATAAGAATAATGCTATTATGCATGACCAATGCGTGTTATGGGGCTAAACTCGTGCTAATTATTAAATATTATTATCGTATGATTTATTAAGAGTAAATAGTCGTGCCTAATTTGGGTATGATCATAACAATTTACAAATATAAGTATTGAAGTTTCTTTAAAATTATTGAATTTAATGTAGGTATCTATATTATATGATATRTTTAGTAGTGTACTACGAAATTTCTAATAAGGTCGTGATTATATACATATTTTTTTAAATATGTTGTATAGGTAGCTACAAGCTTTAAAAACTCATTTTACTGTATTATAAATTTAGTAAAAAAAAGGCAAGTGGTTAAATACCTATCCGCGCGTGTAGTTCACGTGTACGATATACTTATTATAGACAATACACTGAACAATATAAACTATATGTATAAATGTTAAAATGTATCAGTACCTACTTAGAAAAAACGAACAAAATAATAATATTTTAACATTACAATTATAGTCTATATTATACAAATTATTTTTTTACGTTTATAAAATATATATATATATATATACTAACCGACTTAAAAGTACTGAAATATACATATATTGTCATAAGCGTAACTAATAATTATATATTATAATGACTCCGAACGAGCGTGCCGACCTTTTTAGGTAATTTAATTGAACTGCCTTGAAAATTGGTTGGATGAGTTGGTAAAATAATTAAGTAGGTACACTTCCGAGTCTTTTTGTTATAATTTAATTTAACAGGAATGCCATTAAACTATTTAGATATACTTAATTAGTTAAGTCCGTTTCAAGGGGTAGGTGGGTTAATCAAATATTTGAACTGCCTATAGTTTCAATTCCATTTACCTAGTGCCACATGCAGCTCATGACCATTTATATTTTCTACTAAATATGCTTAAACATTTTAAAGTTTAAATCGGAKCATAGTTAATTATTATGTATCGCGTATAACCTATATACATTTATATGTAGGCATTCTTTTATAGTATTTATAAAATGTATGAAGCTAATTATTGCTAAATGTTAATAGTATGTGCAGGGTATAGTGTTTGTGATTGAATGGGTACCTATGCATAATAATAATATTTTATGAGCAAAAAAAATTCCAATTTACAATAATATAATAATGACAGTTGTAGCAGGTACATGTGTGAGTTATCGTAAAAATGAATACAAAAGATCGGGACTTGCTTTTATAGTATATATATATTATATTATATACTTTTAAGAAATAAAAATTTGACAATTTATTAAACAACTAATTACTTAATCTAAAAATAGCAATTTAAAGAACTAAGAGTTATATTGAACAAGTCCAARTTATTGAAAAAGTTTCCACGTGACATTAATATATTAGGAGGGAGTTAATTTTAATAATTGATAAATACATAGGATATTTATTTCTTGAATAATATATACATTTACTTTGAAGTTAAATGTTAATACGTTCTAAAAGTTCTGGACAGTCAATTAAACTATGTAGTCATTTAAAAAGAAATTTTAAATATATTGTTTAATCGAGCAATATTAAAAAAAATACTAAAATTAATATTATCTGAATGAGGACGTTTTTCGAAAAGACATTAAAAATATAGATTCTTCAAAAAATTATTTTGTATACTAGATAGACTGAATTGATATGCCTATAATGTCAATGGATGTACCTACTGTAGGTACCTATATCACAGAACAATGACTATATATTGTACAATGAACAATATTGAATATACAACATATTATCATGCCTTCTCAATAGTTAAACAATAATTTTTATCTGTTGACAGTGGCGTAATAGTTGGTCAGATTTAAAAGATCTCAAAAATTTTCAAAATATTTCAGATCNTTATTGAAAAAGTTTCCACGTGACATTAATATATTAGGAGGGAGTTAATTTTAATAATTGATAAATACATAGGATATTTATTTCTTGAATAATATATACATTTACTTTGAAGTTAAATGTTAATACGTTCTAAAAGTTCTGGACAGTCAATTAAACTATGTAGTCATTTAAAAAGAAATTTTAAATATATTGTTTAATCGAGCAATATTAAAAAAAATACTAAAATTAATATTATCTGAATGAGGACGTTTTTCGAAAAGACATTAAAAATATAGATTCTTCAAAAAATTATTTTGTATACTAGATAGACTGAATTGATATGCCTATAATKTCAATGGATGTACCTACTGTAGGTACCTATATCACAGAACAATGACTATATATTGTACAATGAACAATATTGAATATACAACATATTATCATGCCTTCTCAATAGTTAAACAATAATTTTAATCTGTTGACAGTGGCGTAATAGTTGGCCAGATTTAAAAGATCTCAAAAATTTTCAAAATATTTCAGATCCGTTAGAGACTTTGTCCYCTCCYCCAATACCACCGTCTTTTTTTACCTATTTACAAACTAGTTCCCTAAATTAATTAATTTAAATATATTTWAAAAAAATTTTGTTTTATTTATGAATTATATGATAAAATATTCAAAGATTTAGACGATAACCTCTAATTTTAGCAGCTGCACTGAATTGTGTAATTATATCATCGTGATTAATTTAACACAATCTGTCACGTTAAATAATGTCTATAAAAATAATAAACAAAATTCACATTATACATATCTATTAGAAATATCAAATAACATCATGGTAGGTAGGAATGTAGGATATTGTTAAAATAATGATGATTAAATATTAAAATTTATTGCGTACTGTGGATAATATACTATCATTGATTGTAATAATATAATATAAATATTATATTTGTAATCAATGATAACACCTAGTGGCGCACGGAGGTATTTTAAGAGCACATGCAATTAAAAGAAGTTAGCCACCCACCCAATATTTATTTATAAAAAATATTTTCACTTATTATTTACTGAAGTTTAAGAAAATTAATTATTATAGACTGTAATTTATGTTTATAAACTTCCCTGTAAAACCTGCATATACACCCACTCCCCTCGAAAACACATGCAGTATTGCAGTTGCATTACTAATTACTATTGCTAATTTGCCTGGGCGCCACTGTAACTTACTCATAATATATCTTATTATATAGGTACTATCGCGTAATAATATAAAATCATAATTATTATATTATATTTATTGATGATTATTAATTAGTAGGTAAATGATATGACATATTTACATATAAATCATACGTGCTTATTCTGTAGTACTTTAGTGGCAGTGTGGCACTATCAATAGGGTGGTGTGACTTATCAACTGAAAATAAATCCTAAGTGCACCCACAGCCCACATGTATGATGCTGTTCAGTACCTACACGCAGTGCAATACTGAAATGTAGCAGGAGTTAGATGTAGGTAGTTATGCAGCCTATACTATATAACCAATATTCCGATATTTATATGACAATTGGAGGTGGTTATAAATGTATAATATTATATACCTATAATGATAGTATCGTAATTAACAATAATAAGTTTTAATGAATTAATAAGTTTAAAAATTTACAAATAGCTGGAACCCATGGCTAAACATAATATATTCATCCATGCTGGTACCTAGTGTTTACCTATAAGTATTTCCTATMATTTTTTTTTATATAGTTGTACCTAAATCCACCAATCATTACGTTGGAAGTTAGAACTCAGCAATTCGAACCAAAAAATTATATTTATTCGTACCATAACATTTTGTTTATTAAGCTTGGTTAATAATTTARAATATAATTTTGTTATTACATTATATTTAAAAATAAATAAACAAACAAAATAAATTTTGTAATGTATATTTGTTATGTGTTATAAAGGTTTCTAATTTCTATATAATATATAGGCAATAGGCATATATAGTACAAAAATCTGACACTAAAGTAGGTGAGGTCGTTATCAACCATAATGTCCCGCATGGAAGCATAATATACATGATATAGCCATTAGGTTTGTCGATTTGTGTARAACTATTAAATATATCACAATTTCAGATTTGGGATCAAGATAAAATATAGGTATATACACGGTCTGGGAATATGAAAATGTATAATAATATATTGTACGTATGCGTTATCAGCCCCTATAGTTTAACAAGGGTCAATTATTAAGAAAAATAAAATATTTTTTTTTAATAGAGGGTACAAATGTACAGTTCAATTCTTTAATAAATAGAGTACTAATCGTTAGCAATTATAYTTATTATAGTTCGTTGTCCGGTACAGCTCTATTTACTTCTAACATTATATAGACAGAAGTTTTTATGCAATATTAGTTTCTTTTTATTTTATATATCGTTGCAGAAAAACGAAAAAAATTACAAAAAAATCACAAATACCTAACCGTAGATAGGAATTTTAAATTGTCATTAAAACCTTATAGTACTAGCATTTTTTATGCATGAAAAATTTCAAAATAGTTCAAAAAATGTTAGTTAAAATTATTTAAAAAGTATAATTTTTTTTTAGACCTTTTAAGTTCATATTTTAACGAGATCAAATAGATAAACAAAGAATAACAACTCTATAGTTATTTTGTAGTAGGTAATTCTAAAATATTTTTCGTAGGGATTGAAATTTAAGTATATTTTTTTATTTTAAATATAGGTACCTAAACAAAGATGTTTTTAAATATTTAGATTAATTTTATTCTATTGCTTATGCTTTGAACACCAGCTCATCACCTCACATCATTGTATGCTAAGTCAGTATTTATCAGTGACCACACATACAAACGCTATTCTTTTCTATCTATAGTATTGACTCAAATTTTAATAAAAATAACAATTAATGATATAAAATAAATGGTATTCGAAAAAAAATCCCCAGAAGAAATTATTTTAAGTAATTTGTATTGGATGTAATTTATTTTTTTCATAATTAATTAATTAAATTACTAAATACAGTAAGTACTAACTACTAAGTAGTATAATTAGGTGACATTTTACCAACCAACCTATAACTTAGGTAGGTACCTACTTATTCTATTTTTTGATATACTTTTGTCTATGTATTTTCATATTTTATATTTTTATTTCTATATTATATAGTCATATGATGATTATCAAATTACAATATTTCATTATTTTATGAAGTACACAGTAGTAGGTACGCATATAATTATGCGTATAATTTTTATCTCCCAAAAGTACTAACTAGTTTAATTTTCCTATTATAGGAAAGCTATTGATATGGGCAAGCTACAAGACAAATCATTTATCTGTCATAAAACATATACTTAGTTGTKAGTACTATACTGTATATACTTATTACCTACTTAGGATGGACATCCATTCACACTAACGTAGAAAGTAAAAAGATATTTCTCAATRTAAGTATATAAGTATACTTAAATATTTACATAGGTAAATAACATATTGTAATTTTATTTCRTACCAATGTATTTAAAAGTACCTATAGTCACATTTTTGTATTTTTTAAACACATGATGAATAAATATACTCTTTTCGGTCACCATATATACCCTTTTTTAACGATTTTTATTTCACTTCAAAATGCTAGCCCTAGTCCCTACGCCCCTGACCCTACCTACTCATATATACAAGGATCGAAGTTCAACAAACGCTTAAAGTAAACGATCGTTACGAAGAGTGGAAATAGAGCACGGGATTTATATAATCTTCAAATTTCGCCATGATCAGAGTATCCGAAATCCGTTTCGGGATTGCCATCGTCATAGACAAGTTTTACCCATTTTTCTCGCACTCCTCATCGGCCCGCGCGTATCGCGTAACCGCTAAACCGCTGCCGCCGCCGCTCTATGCCCGTCCGATCTATTGTGGTGGTAGGAGCGGTGTGGTGGTGGTTAAGTGTCTCGACGATTCCGCGTCCACTATGTGTCGACACTGTCGACCGTCGGGCCAATGGGAACGCCAGAAAATGACGTACTTTACTACTTTCCGAAAATAACGCGATGACTCATCGCCGTCCACATCGGGGGGGCCCGAAACGGTCTGCCGTGCGACGTTCATTCATTCGTGTACCGTGTGCCATTCCGTCGTGTCGTTCGCTCTCGTTTGTCCGCCGCGATTAATCACTTGATCGTTTGTTTTTTTTATACGTAACGTGTTATCACACCGCACACGTTTATTTTATTGTTACGTTTAATTTTTAATTTTTTTTTTATATACTGTAATATTAACACTTGATTGTTTTTTTATACCTGGTTTGAAAAAACAACAATAATAATAATACATCACACGGTCCTCCTTAAATCGTGTGCGGAATAAGCGATAAAGTCTCTAAGCGTGAACACTTGTGACATATTAACAAAAATGGTAAATAACTCGTCCAGCTGCATGATGTTGGACGAAGCGTTTTACGACGATCCGCTCATCAGCAAAGTCGAAAGCCACACCAATGAAGTCAACTTCTTGAAAAGACCGATGACGCTGGATTTGAACTCTTGCAATAATGAGAACTCAGCCAAGAAACTGAAACTTCTGCCACCCATGTTGACGTCGCCCGACTTACGCATGCTCAAGTTTAATTCTCCAGAGTTAGAACGATTCTACTTATCCCAACAGACCGCCCTTGGCCATATCAGCACACCCACACCATCTCTATTTCCGAAGTCTGTGACCGAAGAACAAGAAATGTATGTGCAACCGTTTGTCGAAGCTCTCAAATGCCTACACCACAACAACGATTCTAACAGTGCCACTCAAGTAGAAATACCAATGACCAGCAGTGGTAGTAATTCTTCGGAATACCAATCAGAACCCCAGTACTCTGTATTGATGACTTCAAATGACTTTTCCAATATTATACCTCAACATGTTATCAAAGAAGAACCTCAAACTGTACCCAGTGTCACATCTTCTTCACCACCTATGTCACCAATCAACATGGAATCCCAAGAAAAAATCAAACTCGAAAGGAAAAGACAAAGAAATCGAGTGGCTGCGTCCAAATGTCGCAGAAGAAAATTGGAGCGTATTGCTAAGCTAGAGGATAAAGTTAAAGTACTGAAAAATGAAAATACTGAACTTACCACAGTATTGAACAGACTTTTGGAACAGATATGTCAATTAAAACAAACGGTTGTTGAACACATGCATAACGGATGTGAATTTGCAGTCAACTGCCTGTGACCTGTAAGTTCAAAACAAATTGTACTCATCTAAATATTTTAACTTTATCCTCAAATTAATTTTTTTTAATGTTAAAAATTATCATTATTTTGAGTTAGGTAATCTGTTCTGCTTTAATAAACAAATATTTTAATTAATTCCTATTTTAAATAATATGTAGATTAACATTTTTTTAAATTATCGATCTCGCATATTGTATTGTTAMTGTTGATCACATATTCACTAAGTTAAATATCAATAATTATCAATAGAATTAATATGTCCATCATAATAATAGGTACCTAGTCTATTTACTAAATTTGATGATATAGGTAACCAACTTTTAGTATTATACTAGGAGAACTACTTATCTAACAAAATTATTATTTTTACACCATATGAAATTAAAATCCATTTTGATATGAGTAATGAGTACCTAGAATATTTGATGAAATTAGTAGCTAATAAAAAAAATAAGTTACAAATGTACCAAATACTCAATTGGTAACCTAACCTGAATTTTTATTGTTCTGACTGATGCAAACAAAATAAAGGAGATTTACCTTTAGATATTCTAATAAAACATTGAAATAGAAATTAAATATTTATTTGGAAAAAAAAATATCTACTTAATATTAATTAACATTTGTTAGGTATTTAAACACAGGATATAATTGATACGTTAATAACATACATTTTATTTATTTTACAGTTAATAATGAACACAGTTCAATTTATTGAAAACATCCTGAATTTGGGTGCTACTTCCTGCCTGTCTGTGAGTTTTTCATACTTTTCTACAAAATTTTTAATGAACCGATATTATTGCTTCAAAAATTGCTCAATTTCTTTGTAGCCTATTTTAATATATCTCTTTTTATATGTTTCATATATGTAATAGTGTATACTATTGTACATTATTATGGTTTATTCATTGAATTATATTTTAAAAACAAAATCTATTTATTTATTTATATATTATGAACGTGCAATTACTAGGTTATCATACTTTTTTAATTTTACTTGTCTATTATTTTGTATTTACTCTGTACTATGGTATTATTTACTCTGAATATATGTGCATACATCCTGCTGCAGTAGGCTGACACTGTACTGATACGGTCACAGTAACAATAATATTTTGTTTGTGGTTTTATCGGTACCATACCATGTACTGCACCAGTATATATGGACTTTAATATTATTAACTATTAACTTATCAAAATAAATTAGTAGCAATAGAATAATTTTGCACTTGATGCCTTTTAATTGTACGCAAGCCATAAATCACTGTAAATGTTATGCTCAAAATGTTATTGAGTATTAAAGATACCTATTCCAAGAATGTTTTTTATAAAATTATTGAAATGCACAAAATATTTTTATATTGTAATATGTATTTTTTAATGTTCTTAACAAAATTCTRCAATGAAATTGTTACGAGAAAAAACCAGTGTTGCCTTTTTATATGTATATTTAAAGTTTATCTCCTTCAACATTATAGATTATTCTATTTTTATGTATCAATTAAAGGGTACATGTTAACAACGCAATAACTTAACTGATATTTTAAGCTTTTTACCAGACAATAAATAGGCCAAAGTTAATAAATAGATGTAATTTTTTTGTAAAGCTAAACTTATAAWATAATATTTTAATATAATTCTATTAATATTCATTTGTATTGACTGGACTTAAYTTTTGTCTTATGATTTGTCAATCCCTCCGCTCTTTTTACAGACAACTTGAAGTATATCAGTCATGTTCCTAGGTGCTCTTGAGTGTAACAAAGCAATTTTTTTATTCTTATGTTAATAAAATATTGAAAAACAACTATATATATTTTTGATTATATGAATTTATATACCTATATCTTATATTAGATATTTTAATTTATTATTGTAAGTGTATTTTATTAAAAAATTTATTGTGTGCAAATGAATATTGTGATTTTAAGATTATTTTTATCATTAAGGCTTTTGTGTGATTTTTTTTGACTAAGTGATGTTTTATTTATGAAAAAAATTTTATTAAAATTATTTTCTAGAAAACCAACGTTGGTGGTGTTTTTATTTCATTTTGTATACCCTATCGGTCACACGTGTTGTGATCGTCATAACTTTTCTAGCTTGGAATCCTTACACATCAAGGGGTGGCACGAAAGTCATAACAATCAAAGTCGCCGAAAAGAGTGTACCTACCTATACTCTATAGTAATGGTAGTTATGTAAACAGTTTGTTGTCGTAGTCTGACTGAAAAAAAAAATTGGAAAAATAAAAAACTGGCTCGCGATAAACGGCACGATTATGGCATTATACGGTTTGTTGGGTATATAATAATATAATAAATGTATAATCTAGCGGCGGCAGCTCTCTACGCTATGACGTCAAGGTGAACCGGTTGTAATGTCGTCGTCGTGTGTGCGCACAGTGTCCGCGTGTGTGTTGGTGTGCGCTCGTACTTGGAATAGGTGTGCGTTTACAATATTATTACTATTATATCGGATGCACGTTTTTCGAGTGTGCGCTCTTTGGCGAAAAACGTCGACGACGACAACGACTGCGGCGAGATCTTTTAATTATTATTATCGCAATAATATCGTTTACGACGCAAAGTTGCGCGCGGTTTTTGTGTGTCCGTCTCTGCCTCTCCCGCCGCCGCTCCTTTCCAYCACGTTTGACTACTCTTCGTCGCTCGCCACGCCGCACGACCTTGACGGTCGGTTTCATTTTGGCAAACCGTCAACGCAAACCGTTCTCTACGCTCGCGAATCTTAAGCGCACTCGTTATACTGACTTACTAGTTACTATATAATACAATTTTTTACATGTGTAGGGTACGGATTTATAAATGCCCTAAAAAAATAACCAAAAGTTCATTAAAAAATTACCGACAAGTTTTTTATAGGCGTGCAACTACGCGCCAGTGACGGTTTAACTTTCAGTAATTTTAACGCTTCTTTGTCTCAATTACACCAGCAACATTATAAATACAAAATACCAAACGTGTATATAATAGGCGAGCACATTAAATAAAATATATACTGATAATAAATGCAATCTCGATGTATTTCCAACTGACCGATGAATTGTCTCATGTTCAAGTAAGGTCACATCCTATTATCACTTTCGTGTATGAAACAATGCCTGACATTTGATACGGGTAAAAAATGCCTATAATTTGAAAAAAATTATTAAATCGAAAATAAATTGTATAAGTTCAACTAGTAGATATTTTCAATTTTCTAATTTACATTAAAAGCTCCTACGATGTTTTAATATACTATGAAAATGCCCTAATAATGGAAAAAGCATCATAATAATTAAAATACAGTTTCATCTTTAAAACATTTGTTGTGTGAAATTAATTATGTACATAGAATGCATTGATCAACAACAAATAATGCATTCTGCATTGAAATCGGGGACTTAAAGATGGATGTGTACGCGTGATGACTGATGAGTGAGAGAAGACTTCCTGGACACGAAAAATTGGGACGTCTGGTGTCACGCGATACGAAATGACTTATAGTTCCGAATTAACTCTCGACCCTTTCCATCGAATATCCGTTTTGTCACTTGGGGGG